AAGTGGTTCTTTTGGAATTTTCCAAGGAGGTACATCCATGATAGCACTAATATCAAGCAAGGAATTGACTTCTTGAATGGCTTGATCAACATCAAAGTTTGAGAAGTCAAAATGGGACATGCAAGTTTCAAGAGGATCTTTGCTTAGAATGAAGGGGAGAGATTCTTCGACCACTTCATCAATGACATCCACAAGAAAACAATCATCCTCATTGGAGGGATGTTGAGTTGCATGAAAGATGTGGAGTTTGACTTGCATGTTTCCAAAAGCAATGTCCATCACCCCGGTTCGGCAATTAATTGATGCATTAGCCGTGGCTAAAAATGGCCTACCAAGGATCACGGGAATGTACTTTTTTGGGTCATGGACCGGTTCCGTATCAAGAACCACAAAATCTACCGGGAAGTAGAATTTGTCCACTTTGATGATAACGTCCTCGAGAATACCTCGTGGATGCTTGACCGATCTATCGGCAAGTTGCAAAACCACGGAAGTCGGCTTAAGATCTCCCAAACCAAGTTGTAGGTAGACTGAATATGGAATTAAATTCACACTAGCTCCTAAGTCAAGGAGGGCCCTCTCGATTTTGCTGTCACCAATGACGCAAGAGATTGTGGGGGCACCCGGATCCTTATACTTCGGAGGAGTGCTGTGCTGAATGATAGCACTAACATTTTCAGTCAACCTCACCTTTTTTGGCAAATGATTTTTAGAAGTGTGCTTTTGAGTGCACAAATCTTTGAGAAATTTTGCATAGGGAGGGATTTGCTTGATAGCATCCAAGAGGGGCAAGTTAATCTTCACTTGCTTGAAAACTTCCCACATGTCTTGAATTTTACAATTCTTATTCCCAAAATGTGTCGACTCTTGAAGACGTTGAGGAAACGGAGCTTTTGGCTCATAAGTAGCTTCCACATTTGGGGTGACATGTGTGGGATTTCCGTGAATGGTATTTGGACAAGAATTTGGATTAGAAGAGCTTGAATTTGGATTTTTCAAAAGAGAAACTTCCTCACTTTTGTCTCCATCGACCTTGTTGTCAACCACTCTACCACTCCGAAGTGTGGTGATAGCTTGAACTTGTTCATGAGTTGGCCCACTCGGAGGAGGGGTTTCGTCAATCATATGCATTCCTCTAGGATTTTCAAAAGGTTGAGAGGGAAGCTTGCCCTTGTCCTTTTGAAGCAATTGATTCACCGAGTTAGCTATTTGGCCCACTTGATTTTTGAGATTAGCTATGGATTGGGTATGAGAGTGAACTATTTGGAGAGTAGGCTGCAAGGATGTCAAGAGTTGCTTGTTGGCATCCATTATTTGCTTATTTAATGATTCCATCATTTGCTTGTTTGCAGCTACTATCTCGTCAGTTGGACACACAGGAGGTTGATTGGACACATTTGGATTGTAAGGAGGACGGTAGCTTGAAGAGGCTTGGAAAGGTCTACCTTGATATTGAGAAGAGGGCTGATTTTGCCGCCCTTGGTTTTGGAATTGGGAATTTTGTGGGGCTTGTTACCGCCACGAGATATTCGGATGATCTCGCCAACCCGGATTGTAGGTGTTGGAATATGGATTGTTCCCGGGCCGCGAGAACATGGCATTAGCTTGCTCTTGGTTGGGGTTGGGAAATTGCTCCAGTGTGGGGCAATCTTCCGAGAGATGGAATGGACTAGAACATGAAGCACAAACTGAACTTGCCGAATTTTGAGACAATGAAGGAGGAAGATGTGGTGCCATCAATTGGTAGAATTTATGAGCGATGGCATCCACTTGAGATGATTCCTCCCTTATTGACTTTGGTTGACAAGGGTTGGTGTTGTTTGGAGTGGTTGCGGTCGGAGCCATACGAGAATTGTGTTGAAGTGAATTTTCACTCAAATTCTCAAGTAAGGTCCAAGCCTCATCCGCATTCTTGGACATGAACATCCCACCACAAGAAGAATCAACCATGAATCTATGGGTTTCGGTCAAGCCAGCATAGAAAGCTTGCACTAATTGCCATTTTGGGATCAAATGATGAGGACATTTTCGAAGAAGATCTTGTAGCCTTTCCCAAGTCTCGTGGAGTTGTTCTCCATCAACTTGAGAAAAACTTAGAATGGAATGCCTCATTTGGTTGGTTTTACTCACCGGATAATACTTCTTAAGAAATTCTTGTTGCAATTGAGCCCAAGAAGTAATAGAGTTGGGAGCGAGGGAGTTTAACCAATATTTTGCCCTATCCTTTAGGGAGAATGGGAAAAGATGGAGATGAAGTGCATTGTCAGGAAAACCTCTCAACCGGATGGTCGAACAGATTTCAAGGAATTCATCAAGATGCTTATATGGATCTTCATTATCAAAGCCATGAAATGATGGAAGCATTTGAATGGTACTAGACTTGATCTCATATTGAGCTGCATCGATGTTTGGCATCACTATACAAGAAGGAGAAGCATAGGTGGTAGGAATGAAATGATCTCTAAGAGTCATTGGTTCTACATTAGGAATTTCAGCCCTTTCATTCCCCGGATTTCCTACGTTATCCCCCATTGTATTGAATTCAGTTTCAAGATCCTTTGTAAGAGTGGGTTCCCTAAGGTTCCGTCTAAGAGTTCTTTCAAGTGAATTTATATCAATAGGCGAGTCAAGTGTGGGTAGAGAGAGTGACCTACGGCCAAACATCAACAACAAAGCATATATTCAGCAACACAATTCATCATCAATACTCCACATACGATGTTCCCTTTCTCCTCAATTATCAAGACAGAAAATAAATGGCCACGACAAGGACCGATGCTTGTACACGAAATTAAACAAGATAATAGCCTCTACAAGGGCTTCACAACTAAATTAACTACTTCTAAAATTAACACATGTAAGATATTCACAATTCGAAACTAGAAGTCACGAGACTTACCTGGGGTCCTCTAGACTTACAATTTGCTAGCAATCCCACGGCGAGCTTCGAGTCCCTAGAGTCTTACAACACAAAGATGATCAAAACACACAAGGAATATTCACAAGACACAATATGCACAATCAAACTAAATTTAACCCTAAACTTTGGTTGCTAAACCGTTTGCAAGTCCCCGGCAACGGCGCCAAAAATTGATCGGTTGGTCAATCATACATCAACCTTCGCAATAGCACGAATCATTGTAAAATAGGGCTATTGGTCGGGTAAGTCGAACCACTGGGACTGCACTAGTCTAAGGCAACCTAAATGTCTAGAATCGTTCTTAGAATGAAGGGGAAATAAGGAGTTGTTTGTTTGTCACTAAATTGAATATGTGAAGTGCATGAAATAGAAACTTGCAATAATTGAAGTGAGATAAGATACGAGTAAGAAAAACTAAGGAAGTGAATCCGTCTCCATCCCTATACACATGCTAGGCTAAATTTAAATTCGGGAAATCAACATAAACGATGGTCATGATACATAACAACCCTTGGTTGCTATAATATCCTTAAGAGGTTCATTGAATCAAAAACAAGAATAATCCATCAAAGAAATACATGCTTAAACTACATAAACTAGGGTGTAGTCTTCAACATGCTCCCTAAGCCAAAGATTATCAAGCCCTTAATTGAATGATAAAAGCACATAAAGTTAGGAATCAAGAATAGACCATCAAAGGGGGAACCTAAGCAATGGACTATCAAATTTCTCCAACTTCATGCCATTAAAACTATTCCATGATCTCACTACCATTGTCACCATGAGAGTGCAAGCACTATGATTAAAAGAATAAACCATCTAAGATAGATAATCAATTCAACAATAATCATTAAAATACATGAAGATCCATTACAAGAAGCAAAATGCTCTAGACCATGAAAAGACCATAGGTTATACATTGAAATCCCAAAATAAAATCTACACTAGAACATGCTTACAAGGGAGGGACTTCATCACCTCCCTAGAAGAAGAGTTAGTTACCCATTGGAGCCTTAGAATGAAGAAGAAGCTTGAAGACCTCCTCCATTTTCGTGCTCCCTTCTTCAAGCTTGGAGAACTCTCTTTCTTGCTCTCTTCTCTCTCCTCTAATCTTGTAGAAAATGTAGGATAGGAAGTGTGTGGCCTTTGGTAGCTTTTTATTCTCCAACAAAACCCTCTCTCTCCTCCAAGGAACACCTCCAACCACTTCATAAAGAAGGAAGATGGCATTGAGGAAACCAATGTGCAAGTGGCTGAAATTGAGCCATTTCCGAGTGCAATCTGCCTGATTTTCGAGCACTCGAAAAGTGGTCTCGAGCACTCTAAATTAGTGCAATGTGCAACATGCTCTTCTTGCTCAGCGCTGACCTACTTTGGTAAAACTGCTATAACTTTGTGCCCCAAACTCCGAATGATGATCTGTTTGAAGATTTGGAGAGATGATTCAGTGCTTTAAAAACTTCATGTTTTGATGAAGACCCAAGTCTCAAGTCTGGTTGGTCGAAAATGGGGAGAAAGGCAGTACTTCAGTGCTGCCAGGCAGTTCTGCGTACCTCTGTTACGAAGATCATAACTCTCTGCTCCGAACTCTGAATGATGAACCGCTTGAAGATTTAGAAAGCTGATTCAGAGATCTAAATCTTTCATGTTATGATGGAAGTCCAGTTCTTGAGTTTGCTAGGTCGAAAATGGCGACAAAAGTCAGGATCACTGCTGCCAGAAATTCAGAAGTGGCATCCTTTTTGTTCAAAATTCCACAAGGCGTCATTTTTGCTTCCTTTTTGCACTTTAACCTGAAAATGCATAAAAACATGCAAATGGAGTTAATCTACATAAAATAATTAATAACTGGACTTTGTTAATGTAATTTAGGGCGCTTGAATATACAGTATTCAGCGCTTATCAGTCCCCATATATCCTTGTTCTTGGATCTTATTGCATCAAAGAATGGTTTGCACTTGTCTGATAACCGAGAGATGAAGTGGCTGAGAGTTGTGATTCGGCCAGTCAGAACCTGTACTTCCCTGTAAGTTTTTGGTTCCAAATTTTGTATAAGGGCCTGAGCCTGAGCCGGGCTTACCTCTATTCCTCTCTTGTTGACAATATGGCCGAGTAACTTCCCTGTAGAGACTATAAAGGAACGCTTAGAAGGATTCAACTTCATGTTATACTTTCTTAAAGTGTCAAAGACTTCCTGGAGGTGCTTGGGATGATCCTCCTTTTTCACACTTTTAACCACCATGTCATCGATGTAGGCCTCGACCGTCTTTCCTAACATCTCATCAAAGATCTTGTTAACGAGACGTTGGTAAGTCGCCCCAGCATTCTTGAATCCGAAAGGCATCACTCTGTAACAGTAGGTGTCTTTCTTTATTATGAAGCAAGTTTTCTCTTCATCCTCTAGATTCATAAGGATCTGGTTATACCCAAAATACGCATCGAGGAATGTGAGTCTCTCATAACTAGTGGTAGCGTTGACCATCTGGTCTATCTTGGGTAGCGGAAAGCTATCCTTAGGGCAAACCTTATTAAGATTGGTAAAATCTATACACACTCTCCATTTTTCATTCTTCTTCTAAACTACCACCACGTTCGAGAGCCATTGTGGATAGTGTACTTCTCGGATGAAGCTTGCTTGAAGGAGTTTGTTCACTTCTTCAGCAATGATTCAATTACGCTCAGGAGCAAACCTTCTGGGTCTTTGCTTAACTGGCTTGAATACCGGATCTACCTTCAGGCTGTGGCATCAGATTGAAGGATTGATTCCTACCATGTCTGAATGATCCCAGGCAAACGCATCAGCATTCCATTGAATGATAGTAACTAACGCTTCCTTCTCTTCGGCTGTAGGGGAAGAGCCCATATAGGTGATTTTCTGGGGGTTGCCGAGGATAACTTCAACAGCCTCAAGGGATTCCTCGGTAGGCTTTGTAGCTTTAGCTTCATCCTCCGCTTTCAAATACTTGGGCAGATGGTTCTGTAATTGTTATTTGGACAAACTTTTGGGAGTCGCAATTGGTTAGGGCTGCTTGACCATCTTCTTTGCTTCATTTTGTGTCAACATATAGCATTCTTTGGTAGCGACTTGATCTCCCTAAAGATTAATAAACTCATTACCGTTCGGAGACAAGCATCGCATCACCTAATGAAGGGTAGACGGAACCCCATTCATTCGGTGAATCTAACCTCTTCCCATAATAAGATTATATGAAGGATGGATTTCTGTTAGAACAAAGTTCTCCTTCAATGTCCTTTTTTGCCGCAGTGACGGATAAATCAATCATCCTAAGGGGGTCCACCTTCGTGCCATCGAACCCCATCAAAGGACTGGAGGTAGGCCGAATTGATGATGATGGGATCTCCAACTACTCAAAGACCGCCTTTGTGATAATATTGGCACTACAACCTGGGTCTATCAAAACCCTTTTGATCATACAATTGGCCACCAGAAGACTGATGACTAGTGGATCCTCGTGGGGAAGTTAAACTCTAAATAAATCTCTATTGCCGAACCCAATACTGATATTGCCCGAGGTGATAGTGCTTACTGAGGATAACTTCCTTAGCTTGTGGGCTGCCCTCAGTCTGGATCGATATACTTCTTCAGATTCTTGGTCATCTTCTGATCTCCCATGTATCACATGAATGACCTTTACTTAATTGCCTTCCACTTTCTGAGGATTGACCTCCCGAGGCTTCACGTACTCCTTTGGTGTAAAGTAGTCTGCGAACTCACCCCTGGTTATCATGTTCTCCACTTACTGCCTAAGGGATCTACAATCATTGGTTGTATGGCCGTAATCCCTATGGTAGGCGCAATGCTTACTATTGTCCCTTTTCTCCAAGGGTTGCCTCATTAGCTTAGGGGCTGCATATCTCACCTTGTTTTCTTGGAATAGCCGAGCCAAAGTGGTACGAAGCGATGTGAACCTTTCCTCTGTCTTTTGCCTCTTTTCAGGTACCTGAGCGACTGGTGCTGAGGCATGCTGGCTTTTTTGACTTTTTGGATTTGAAACTTTATCCCGAGGCTTATTCTCCACTGTGACTAGGGTGGTATGCTGTGCTCAGTGGACTACATTCTCCTCAAGTTGGATGTAGATCTATGCCCTATCATTGAGAGTCTGCATATCCGAAGGGGAATATTTGACTAGGGAGGTATGGAACTTGGTTCCCTGAATCATTGCAAGCTTGAACGTTTCTATTGCAGTCGTAGGATGGTAATCTGCTATTTTCGAGGCCTCCACGTTAAATCTGGATAAGAAATCCTGTAATGATTCTCTTTTCTTTTGCCTTATGGTGAAGAGGCTAGCGATACTCTTCTTTTGTTTCTTGTTTCCGTAGTACTGTGCTAGCAACATAGTGCACAGAGTTTCGTAGTTCGGGATGGATTTGTGTGGCCTATTCCTTACACATGAATATTCCAGTACAGCTCCTGTTAAGCTAGTTTGAAAAACCTTACACATGAATGGATCGTTGTGATCGTCCAGAGCCATCTTTTGTGCATAGTGATCGAGGTGATGAGAAGGATCTTCCGTACTATAGAACTGGGTAAAGGAAGGCCTAATGAATTTCTTAGGTCTGTCAATAAGGTATATATCATCGGTGAACGGAGTCTTCACTAGAGAGTTCTTATGCTCTCTGGCCATCTCGGCGGGCGTCTGAATCCTCAGGAGTCTTTTTTTGTCAAAGGCCTCCTGTATGCCTGTGCCATTTGGAATGCCATTAGACCATACCATAAGCTTACGGCTGGACTTAGCCTGTTCATCCTGCGTGCGACAAGGAAGATTGTCGGAGGCAACCGCCTCGGTCTTTGTCCTCTGCTCTTGCTGAACTTCGTTAGGCCGAGCTTCATTGGGACGTGCCCCGTTGGCTTGAGGCTCATTAACTAGAGGAGCGTTTTGGTGGGGGGAGGTGCGGCAGCATCAACTGGTGGTGGTTGTGGTGTCAACTGAGCCATCGCCGTTTGAAGGTCATTTTGCTGTTAAAGTAATGCAATTTGGGCTACGCTGGCGTCGTTCGCCTGACAAAGCGTTACAAATTGGTGCAATAATTCTTCTCGTATCTTTTGCATCAACTTCATCTGTTGATCAGCCGTTGTTGCAGAACCTTCGTTTGACATTCTAGATCGTAGTAACAGAAACGATTTCAAACAATAGTGGGAGTATATTTTTATACGTTCCCACAGACGGCGCCAAAGTGTAGGTGCAAATTTCTATCTATTAAAAGAAATAAAAAGAAAAATACAACTCACTCAAAACAAGCAATTATAATACTCAGAGAAAAGCATATATTGTTCGATCCCTTTATTGGAGGTCTAGGCCTCTATTTATATACAAAAAGGTGGTGGAATTATGATAGGACTCGCATTGCTTGCCCTCCAATACATTCCATATACAATCCTCTTTCCTATAATATTGTTTCATTTTATACTTCTTTCCATGCCAAACTTCCCTTTTTACAAAACTTCCTTGTATAGAATTTACCTTCTATGATGAATCATTCAATTAGCAGGACTCGTTTATTCTCATATAGCCTAGGCTGCATGCATCTTGAACCGGCTGGGCTTGAATAATGGGCCGAAAGACCAATGTCAGCAATCTTGATAGAAAGGAAGAATCAGCTTGGGCTTGTTCCGGATTGGGCTTTTCCAATTCGGGCTTGATATGGATTGGGCCCTCGCAATATAAAGAATATAAAATTGCAGTGTGATGATGTGGATGATCTTCATTAGAGGGGGATTTTTCTCTCCACACAATCCATTCATGGCCCTTAAATCCATCTGGTTTTTCACCAAAAGACACTAAATTGACAAATTCAACCCCAAACCATATACTTGGAGCAGTTCTACTCTTGTTTCTGAATACCTATGGTCATTTTCCCACTTGTTTTTTTTTTTTTTTTTTTTTTAACTCATTAAAAAATAATATTTAAATTTTTTTATTTTATAAATAACTATGTATTTTCAACACTAAATGTGATCCAAGATCAATATTTTTTAACACACTTCATTTGAAGGTTTATACATTTTTATCTAATTTTCAACTCAGCACTTTTAAATCTTGTTATTACTACATTTGTTATTTAACTCAATGCTCTTAAATCTTGTTCTCACCACTTTTTCCCTCAACTCAACGCCCTTAATTCTTGTTTTTGCCACTTTTATTCCTCAACTATAAATTATAACCACAGCCGAATTTTGCCCCACGGTTTAATTTCAGCACACAAAAAGTAAATTTTTTTTTTTTTCCTAAAAATTGATTTCATTGGTAAAATTTCTACTTTCTAAAGAGTGTTAGTTTGACTCTTTTATTCAAAAAGCAGTTTTATAATTAGTATTTACTTACAAAACATTGGACATTATATATTTAAAATAATGACAAATATTTAAAGCCAAAGTGACCTGATAATATAATTCATGAGACCCAAAGTCCATGTTTTTGTGGTAGACTTATTAGTTTTTTGAGATTACCTAGATTTGAAGTTGAGAACAAGATTGAAAGGCATTGAGGTAAATATTAAAGGTGTTGAAAATTAGATTAAAAGGTGTTGAGAACGAGATTAAAGTTGCTAAGAACAAGATTAAATAGGGTGAGAACAAGATTAAAATGTATTTAGGTAAAGATTAAAGGCATTGAAAATAAGATTAAAAGGTGTTGAGAACAAGATTAAAACTGTTGAGAATAAGAATAAATAGTTGAGAACAAGATTAAAACATGTTGAAAATAAGATTAAAAAGTGTTGAGAACAAGATTAAAACTGTTGAAAATAATAATAAATTGGTTGACAACAAGATCAAAAAATGTTGAAAATAATATTAAAGGGTATTGAAAATAAGATTAAAGTTGTTGAGAAAAAGATTAAAAGTGCTGAAAATAAAATTAAAAAATGTTGAGAGTAAGATTAAAAGTTGTTGAAAAGATTAAAACGTGTTGAGCTTTAAAACACTTCAGCAATGACCCATTTAGAAACCTGCAAAAGCTTCTTCATTCCAAGCACACAAATATATACATTCATATATATATGATATCTCAACACCTTTTAATCTTATTCACAAAAATGATTTGTAATAATCGAACTATAATGACTTTTTTTTGCCTCAGATAAAAATGAACTTCCATTCATCCAAGAGAACCTTATTAAAATAAAACTAAAATAGAACATTTAAAAATGTCATACTGCAAAACCCCACTAAAGTGATTTATAAACTTTTAATCTTGTTAATTCTCAACACCATTAATCTTTACCTGAACACGTTTTAATATTTTCTCAACAAATTTTAATCTTTTTCTCAATACATTTAATCTTATTCTCAGTACCTTTAATTTTGTTCTTAAAGCCTTTTAATCTAGTTCTGAACACCTTTAACCTTGTTTTCAACACATTTGATCTTTATCTCAATACATTTTAATCTTTTTTCCAACACATTTAATCTTATTCTCAACACCTTTAATATTTACTTCAACACATTTTAATCTTTACCTC